GCAGATTTTTTTTATTTATTAAATGTTGCACAATGATCTTCGGTGTTCATTCTAGATACAAATGTACATACATGTGCACACCTGCATGCGTCTGTACCCTATAGTTATGCTTGACCGGCATTCTTTTCCATTGATTGATCAGTAATGCAGAGGAAATTGATCACCTTCCATTTATTATTCATGTCACACTAATTATGTATGTGTCTGGTACCTAATGAGGTCTACTGAACTTTGAGTCCATTTATAGTCCTGAACATAAAGCTTTAAAGTCTACTGCTTGTGATTAGCCAATGACCCTGCCACCATTGCCACGTATTTCAATACTTGTGGTCATTGTTTATAGATATATCACCAAGTCATTTGTCAATGTCTTTAATGCTTTACTTTTGTCAAGCAAACCTGAGAAGGCAGTTTATATTCAGTTCTCCTTAATGCTGTTGCTGGTTTATTGTTCATTTTTTTGAAAAATTTTAGTTACAAATTCAGGAGCCACCGGCTCAAAGGTTTGCATGAAAATTGAGACATCATCATAACTGCGCAGTTTATGGGCAAATATTCAAAATTTTCGTAATGCATTTTTGATATGCATTTTGTCTATTACTGATAAATTTTGACTAAGATCAAATTCAACCTTAATTTTCCAAAATTTATCAGGCTTTAAAAATAAAGGCCAGAGCTTATGGTATGACTGATTGTCTGTTAGCATATATTCAGAGTCAATTTTTCATAAAACATTTCTTGAGAATTTACCATTAAGATTGCTTTGCATATTTGGAATATTAGTGTATTTTGGAAGGATATCTACCTATACCCTAATGTCTCCCCAAAAACTGAATAATCCTAAAATGTTGCAAGTGTGTCTTATGTAATTAAATATCATATAATGATGAGACTATTATCCAACCCTATTTTTAGTTGCACTTCTAATTCTGTTTTTGTTTTCTGTCTGCCCTTCCAGAATCATCTAACAATGGTACATTTGAGCATGTGGAACTGTTTTTTTTATTGGCGCCATTAATGATAGTGTGTGTATGTTGTGTGTGCACCATTACCCAATATAGAAAGGGAAGGTGGAGAACTCAACAAATGGAACATCAACCAGTACCAAGGAGTGAATCCTCTGATATCACGCAAGTGAGAGAGGTAAGCAATAATAGAAATCTGTATTAAAAAAACTGGAGACTCAAAATTCATGCTCAGTACATGTCAGTCAATGTTACTCTCTGTCCTCAACACTCAGATGTGAAAATTAGTGAAAATGTAGTGCTATATACTTCACTTTGAAATGTTATTACCCTCTGTAATCATTTCCTAATAAGGTAAGATGATGGAATTATGGCATCAAATAATTAATTTTATGTAGAAGGGACTGGATAAGGTGGTTTACACTGTTCACTGGGTTCATTATAAGTCCCATTATTCAGTCAAAGAGAGATTTGAAGAGGATATCCGGTTTCACATAGCGCCTTCAGAAATTTGCTAGTCTGTCCATAGAGGGCATATATTTTTTATTTCTCTCACTAGATAGGAATGTTGTAATTTAAAGACTCCTATTTCAGTTACTGGTGTCAGCTGGGATTTTTTAGCTCCGCGAGTGGAGCTGTTCATATTACTGATTGTCTGTTGTCGTCCATCTTCTTCAACTTTACAATTTCAACTTCTTCTTCGAAACCGCAAGTCAGAATGTTTTCATTTTTTATCAAATTCTCTAATTTTGGTGAATATTTTTGTAATTTTTGGTAAAAAGTGATATTTTTGACTTCTTGTTAAAAACCGCAAGTCCAATTGCTTTGATATTACATATATAGATACATGTGGACCTTTCTCAGATTTGTTCATTTCGTGATGATATCTTTAATTCTCTAATTTTGGTGAGTATTTTTGTAATTTGTGGTAAAAAGTGATATTTTCGACTTCTTGTTAAAAATCTAAAGTCCAATTGCTTCGATATTACATATATAGGTACTACATGTGGACCTCTCTCAGATTTGTTCATTTGATGATGATATCTTCAATTATCTAATTTTGATGAATATTTTTATCATTTTTGGTGAAAAGCGGTATTTTTGAATTCTTGTTGACAACGGCAAGTCTGATTGCTTTGATACTATACATATTGTTCATATTCTAATGAAATCTTCAGTTCTTTAATTGAAATGTGCATTGCTAACAGCGGAGCTATCTCAGCCGACAGGCTGCTTGTTTTAATTTGAGGGAAAAAACCTCAACTGCAGTTCTGACATGTACATGTTACCAGTGTCTTTCTGTACAAAGTCACAACTAAAGAAATTCAATACCCATCATTTTGAAACTTGGTATGGGTGATGGTCAAAGCAATCTTGTGGAAACAAGGTATTAATTACATTTGTATATATTACAGAATGTTGAAAAACTCTGTTCCTCTCCAAATTTAAATTCAACAATTATCATCTTGAAACTTTATATGCATGAGGGTCATACTGTTCTTATAAAGACAAGATGCATGCTATTTTGCTTATTAGCATATAATAATTGATTAATAGTGATGAAAACTAATATGCAGTAGGTATTGCTTTAATTAGTCCCCATTTGGACGCAGTCCTGAAACAAGGACTTATAGATTGACTTCTGTGCATCTGTGCGTGCGTGCATTCGAACCTATATCTTAGCCATACACGGACCGATTACATTCAAACTTCACACATACATCATACATATTATACATATGCACATCAGTTTGTTTCATGATCTGATCCACTGTGGCCGAATGGCGTTTTTGTGCTGAAAAATCATCAAGGAGTCAGGAGTCTTTCAAGGAAATGTCAAGGTCATTGATCGTATGTCACTTTGTCATATTGTCTAACTTTGTCATTCTCAATTCAGTCACATGCACTACAGTAA